GTAAGGGCAGAGGGTGGGGTGGGAACCGGGTGGAGGGGAGCTATGGGGGGAAAAAAGAGGAACAACTGTAATAATCTGAACAATAAAGATTTAATTAAAAAAGAAAAAAAAAGATTTGGTAGAGATGTTGAAGTTAATGCCTAAGATTAAGAACTTTCTGCTAATTTAAATTGCCTGTGTTATATACAAAACTAATTTTTCTGAACTGAATCACAAGAAATTCAACAGCAGTTTTCTCTGGGGATTGACACTAGGAAACAGGTGAGTAAGGCTTAAAGTTTTCACTGTGTATCTTGCTGAATGGTTATTTTGAGTGTTAGGATTATGGCCTTTTCCTTTCTCCTTTATGTTTTTTTAAATCAGTACATTCTAGTAAATAACATAAAAAGTTTAAAATGACAAATATTCTCTCTTATAGCCATGCACCCACTCACATAAGGACAAAAAAAAGATTTCAAAATGGAAATACCTGGCACATTTTAATTTTACTGAATACAATAACTTTTAAAGAAAATAAAGAAAGGAATATATGTAAAATTATACAAAGGATATTATAGCACACATTTAAATAGTCTCTAGTTATTATTAAAAGAAGATATCTCTGAACTAACAGATAATTGCTTAGGAAGTAAATTAACTCAGTATACAAAATGCTTATAGTACCATACTTACTACTGCTATTAAAATATACTTTACCTCTTTTCCATAATTTCCAGTGTTAAGTGCAATAGCTCCCTTTTACTCTTTTCTCTTCTTTTTATCATCTCTAGAATAGTAACAGCCCGACTTAGATCTCGACGCAGCTTAAGCATTTTTTCGTAAGAGGCTTCATCGTTTTTGCGATTCTGCAAATATAAAGGTCCTTATTTAATGTCAATAAGCACTTCTAGCTAGTGGCATTCTGAACATAGCTACTGATCCTATATAATAAAGAGGTAATATGCAAATTGACCACCACGCCCTTGCACAAGATGGCTGTCCCCATGTGGACACATGATGGCCGCCACAAGATAGCCAGCAGGGGAGGGCAGTTGGGGGCGACCAGGACAGCAGGGGAGGGCAGTTGGGGGCAACCAGGCCAGCAGGGGAGGGCAGTTGGGGGGGACCAGGCCTGCAGGGGAGGGCAGTT